AATAATAATAATAATAATAATAATAATAATAATAATAATAATAATAATAATAATAATAATAATAATAATAATAATAATAATTATAATATGGGAAATGCTCTAAATGCTCTGATGGTCATTTTGAAAAATCCTTTCTTAGTGAGTCCCTAAAAGCCAAGAGGAACATAGGTGCCAAATTTCAAGTTTCTAGGCTTTACGGTTCTGGAGATTTAAAATGATGCGTGAGGGGTATTTCACTTTTATATATATATAGAATTGAACTGAACTAGGCTGTGATGTTTCTCTTTGCCGTGTGTGTGTGTGTGTGTGTAGGCATAATGGTTATCTTTCGAGAGCTGAATGCAACAAAATTTCAGTGTATGCTGATTAGTGTATATTTAAAGTGATAATAAAGATTCTATTCTGTTCTATTCTACTTTTTATATTCTATTCTATTCTGCACTCTATTTTATCTCTTCTGCATTCTATTCTTTCCCTATTCTATTCTATTCTTCATTCCATTCCATTCTATCCATCTTCTATTTCTATTTATTTCTATATTTCTATTCCTATTCCTATCCCATTCCATATTCTACATCCCATTCTACACTTAAAGCATCTTTCTAATTTCAGGGATCCAAAATAGGCAATTATTTATGGAAAGGTTTTCAGGCTGTCCTTGACTTATGACCTTTCGGTTACGACGGTGCTGACGACCGGCCTTGGCACTTAGGACTCTGGCAGCATAAACACAGTCAGGGGTTCGTGGCAACTGGCATGGGCTACAACCACAACGGTTTCAGCATCCTGCAGTCACGCGGCTGCCTTTCGCAACTTTCCCAGCCGGCTTCTGGCAAACTAAGTCAATGGGGAAAGGTATCAACTAAAAAAAATACTTCTTTGGTCTTTTTAGTGGCCAGCAGAAAGGGAGTGGTGGGGGTAGCAGTGCATTCCTTAAATGTTTCAGATAACTGCTAGGCAGCCAAAGCTGTTGGCGCGCAAAATTATTACTGGGGAATGTGATGATTCTGGGCTACGGATGTGTCCCATTGGAGAATATGCATCCAGGGACTGAGGGGAAGATCAGGGTCAAGGGTGAGATGAAAGATGTTTTCTTAGTCGGCTGCACCCAGGAAACGCCGACATGTCAACTCCTAATAAATCAATTTATTTTTTTACTCGGAGACTTATGATTTGAATGGGGGTGGATTTATCGGAGCCCTGACAAAAGGTGGATCCACTTAAGGACCCAGTGGTTTGCTTAACGGCTGTGGAAAAGGGCTGCAAAATGAGGTGAGGTCACATGACGCCTCATTTAACGACCGCGTCGCTCGGCGGTGATTGTAAGCCGAGGACTTCCTGCAGCTCAAAGAGACAAAAAAATGTAGACATGCGAAGTCAATAGGGGAAGGGGGATCCAATTAATGACCCAGTGAGTCGCTTAACGACTATGGCAAAAAAAGGTTGTAAAATCAGGTTTGGTCACAGGGTGATTCACTTAACGGCCTCGCTGCTCAGTGGTGGTCGTAAGTCGAGAACTACCTATATCTCAAAGGAAGAAGTAGAGGAATAAAGACCGGCTCACAAAGGACCATTGGCCTATGCCCGTGATGGTGAACCTATGGCACATGTGCCACATGGGGCACGCACTGCCATTTGTGCCGGCACGCGAGCTGCAGGCAAACTTACCTCACTGCACATGTGCACACCTCACAGCTGATTTTTGGCGGGTTTGAGGCCTTTTTCGGCCTCCCAGAGGAAATACCGGTGACAAAACGGGCCTAGTTTTCGGCCTGCAAAGCCTGCAGAAGCCTTCCTCAAGCCTCTGGGAGGCCGAAAAAGGCCTCAAACCCGCTGAAAATCAGCTGTGAAGCGCAGTGCAAGTAAGGAGGTGGTGGTGGTGGGTATTGTGCGCACGTGCATAGGGGGTGGGGGGGCACACATTGCCTTCTGGGCGCTGGCACGCGAGCACAAGGCATGAAAGTGTGAGCACAATTTTTGGCACAGGGGCCCAAAAAGAGTAGCCACCACTGGCCGATGCAGGCGAGAATTTCTCGTCCATTACAGATAGACCTCGACATGACCACAATTGAGTTCCCGTTGCTAAGTGAAACGGTTGCAAAGTGAGCTTTGCTCCGTTTTAATGGCCTCCCTCGCCTCCATCGTTAAGTGAATTGTTGCGGTTGTTAAGTTAGTGACACGGTTTTTTTTCCAGTGAATCCATCTTCCCCCTCGACTTTGATTGGTCAGGAGGTCGCCAAAGGGGAAATCACGGGACTCCCGGGACGCTAAAACAGGCGTAAAGTACATGCCAGTTGCCAAGCATCCGGATTTTGATCCCATCGTGGTTAAGCATCTAAATTGTGATCGTGGGACCAGGGAGATGCAGTAACAGTGGTTAAGTGTGAAAAAAAAAATACTCATTGGTCACTTTTTCCCCCGTGGGTGTTATCTGTCAACTAAAAAAATAAATACTCCTTTGACCTTTTTAGCTGCCAGCAGAAAGGGAGTGGGGGGAAACAGTGCATTCCTTAAGCGCCTAGATAATCGCCCTGGCAGCCCAACGTTGTCGGAGCGCAATATTATTACTGGAGAGCCTGATTGATGACTCTGGGCTATGGATGTGTCCCATTGGAGAATATACATCCAGGGGGTGGGGGGGAAGACCAGGGTCAAGGGGGAAATTAATAATGTGTCTTAGTGTCGGCTGCACACAGGTAACGCCGACATGGTCACTCCTAATAAATCAATATTTTTTTACTCTGAGAGATGCGGCTGGAGACTTATGATTTGAATGGGGGTGGATCTGTTGGAGCCCTAATATTATCATGTCACGTGGTCGCTAAAAGAAACCACTGTAAGTAGAGAACGACCTTTACTAAGCTTCGCGGTCCCGTCCCCCTGTGTTGTGGTTTGCCGGCAGCAGGTGCAGACGGCTGAGGTCTCGGAGAGCGAGGACTTGGTGCAGGGATGGGGCCAGGACCATCAGGGAGTGGAATGCGGCCTTCGGAGATGGTGGAGGCTGGCAGCAGTGAGGAAGAGGCCCCCGAGGAGCCTGTGCCCAGCGTGTGCGCGCGCGCAGGGCTGCTTGAAGGAAAGAGCAGCTGCAGCAGCACGGGCGACTCAGGAGTAAGGCTGCAAGGTAATGGCCCCTCCCGTAAGGGATAAAAGCCAGCTGAGAAACAGGAGTTCTTTGCAGGAAGCAAAGACGTTTTTGCACTCAAGCCTCGTGGACATTCGGATTATCTTGGTTGGTGTTTGGAGACTCTTTGGGTTTGAAATATTTCTGGGCAACTTTATCTCGTGTTCTTGGCAGCCTCGCACCACCTTGGCAAGGCTCATTCTTATCAGAGAAAATTAGTTTGAAACAGCCTTTTCACCGGGAAGGAACGGGATTCGCAGAGAAGCATTAAAAGCTTTTGCTTTTTATCTCTTGTTTGTTGTTTGTTTCCTTGGAACAAGCTTTGGGTCAGAACACCCTGGCGGGCTGAGTCTTACCAGTGTTTGCACCATGTGCGGCCTCTGTAACCTCAAGCTCTTTACCGTCTGAAAGACGTCCAGAATTCCTTCCGCCTTGACCCTCTCCAGGACGGTGCCCAACGCACAAAAAGTCCCCGTCCGCCCAGCTCCAGCACTGTGTGAAGGAATACAAAGGGGAGATCAAACAAGAGTCCTTCCTTCTCCGGAGACCCAACTTACAAGGGGACGAGAGCTCGGGAGGTCTACTCAATGGTTGTGGGCGTGGTGGAGAAGATGAGCTGCTCTGTTGAAGGAAGAAGGGTTGGGTCCAGTAGTGCAGGGGTAGCCAACCTTTTGGACCTCAGGGACCACCAAAACTCATAATTTTAAATCCCGCGGACCACTAATATGGATTTTGACTAACGGTGGCTTGCGGACGTTGGTGGGAAGGTCGGTCCCCTATTCCAGAGCTGCAGGAGTCACAGGACTGGCCCCTTTGGTCATCCCGGAGTAGCTGCTCCTCCACTTGGGTGCACCGGCCTGCCACGGACTGGAGCAGCTGCTCCGGGATGGCCAAAGGGGCCAATCCTGTGACTCCTGAAGCTCTGGAATAGGGGACCGACTTTCCCACCGACGTCAGTAAGCCACCCCGGGGCGGATTGTCCCTCCCTCCACCTCGTTGGTCTTACCTTCCAGTTCCAGCTCACGTGGCTCTACTCAAGGTAAGGTTTGCGCTGGGAGACAGCGGGTGGGCGGGCCATGTGGGGGGGGTGCAGCCTTGTGTTTCCCACACAGCCTGGATTAATTGCTTGGGGGGGGGGACATTGCTCTGCGGACCACCCAAATTTTCTTGTGGACCGCCAGTGGTTCCCTGGCCCACTGGTTGCCGACCACTGCAGTAGTGGCTTCCTACCTTGGTTGCTACCGATTGGGCGGGTGATTGGGCGTGCGCGTACGCCCTTAACATGTGCGCACAGGCGTGTTTCTAACACACCCATCAGCCGAGAGGAGGACGAAACGAAAAGCTCGGAGTGACCCTCGCTTTTTGCATCCTCTCGGCTGATCGTCAGGGGGGAACCAGTTTGGACCAATGGGTAAGATTTTCTTTTTTTTCTTTTTTTAACTGATGGTTCGACTGAACCGGGTCAAACCGGTAGCATACCACCACTGGTTGGGGTCAAAGGCCAGTCTGAAGGTACCGTCTAGCCCGGGACTGCAGAGGCACGGAGATCGTGAAGCAAAGTTTCTTCAAGGAAGAGAGGTGGTTTGGTGCGGTGCTTAAGCTGCCGGCTTAGAAACTGGGAGACGGTGAGTTCTAGTCCTGCCTTAGGCATGAAAGCAAGCTGAGTGACTTGGGGCCAATTAGCAAGGAGACTGGGAGTTCTAGTCCTGCCTTAGGCATGAAAGCCGGCTGGTGACTTTGAATCAACCACAGGAGACTGGGTGTTCTAGTCCCACCTTAGGTAGGAAAGGTGGATGTGTGACCTCAGGACAATCACCAAGTTATAATGAGTTCTAGTTTCACCTTAGGCATGCAAGCAGACTGAGGGTGATACTAGAACTCACTAGGAGATGGTGAGTTCTAGTCCCACCTTAGGTAGGAAAGGTGGATGTGTGACCTCAGGAAAATCACCAAGTTATAGTGAGTTCTAGTTTCACCTTAAGCATGGAAGCCGATTGGGTGACTTTGGGCCAATCACCAGGAGAGGGTGAGTTCTAGTCCCACCGTAGGCGTGAAAGCCGATCGGGTGACTTTGGGGGCAGTCCCTCTCTTTCAGCCCAACCCCACCTCCCAAGGTTATTACTGCGAGAAAGAGGAGAGGAAATGAGCATTAGGCCCTAATCGTCAAGACGAGGTGCAAATAAATGCGCTCCTTTTTTTGGGATCCATGGCATCGGTTTCCGTGGTGCGCTTCAAAAGCCTCAGGGATGCGAGTTGGCCCCTGCAAAGGGGGTGCCCTCAGAAACACACACACACACACACACACACACACACACACACACACACACACAGAGAGAGCTACCTGCAATGCACAGTGATGGGGTGATTGCCGGACTGCTGCTGCTGCTTCTGCACGGCTGCTATGATGTTGATCATGCCTTTCCCGTCGGTGGGAATCCCCACCTCTGGCCACCCGTGGAAGTGGAACTGTCGGATTTGCCGGCTTTTGTTTTCCTGGGGAGGGGGGGGGGGGAAGAATGTAGAATAATATCGTTAGAAGGGGCCTTGAAGGTCTTCTAGTCCATCCCTCCCCTTAGGTAGGAAACCCTAGACCAGTGGGGGGGCTAACCTTTTTCGGCTCGCAGGGCAGCACCCAGAAGGCAATGCGTGCCGCCCACCCCCCCCCATGCCCGCTGCGTGCCCTGTGCATCTCTGAGCATGCGCGCGTGTGTCTTCCACACATCCCCGCCCAGTGGTGGGATTCAAATTTTTTTTACAACTGGTTCTGTGGCCGTGGCTTGGTGGCCGTGGCAGGGGAAGGATATACTGCAAAATCCCCCTTCCCTTCCTTCCCCTCCCCACTAACCTGCTTTCCAGCTCCCTTCTCCTGTGCAGGGCAACCCAAGGAGACCCAGCCGATCAGCTGGGACTCAATGGGAGGCGGAGAAGAGATGGGGATGGCGGGGCCAGTCAGAGGCGGGATTAGCCGGTTCTCCAGAACTACCCCACATTTCTGCTACTGGTTCTCCAGAACCGGTCTAAACCGTCTGAATATACCACCTGTGGACATCATCACCCTTTGAGGACCTTGTGCCAGAGGTGACCTCCACAAACCCAGGTTCAATGGAGGTTAAAGAGAACCTGCAGATGTCTGTGAAGACGCTCCAATCCTTCAGGTCCGAGTTGACCCAAAGATGTTTTTTGAAGACCTTTTGCTTCTCATCCAAGAAGCTTCTTCAGGTCGAACTGGAGAAGAACGGAAGAAGCTCCTTGCATTAGAAGCAATACGTTTTCAGAAAAATAAAGCAAGAAAGTCCGGTTGCCTTTTGGAAAAAGCACCCCTGGGACAGAACCAGGACAGCCTTATGTGCAAATTTGGGGGTGCCCAGGCCGGGCTCTAGAAGTTCACCATAACTCCAGAGCAGTGGTGGGATACAATTTTTTTTTACTACCGGTTCTGTGGACTAACCCATTTCTACTACTGGTTAGTTAGGGTTAGGGTTGGTGGGGCCAGTCAGAGGTGGGATTGGCCGGTTCTCTGAACTACTCAAATTTTCCACTACTGGTTCTCCAGAACCAGTCCGAACCAGCCGAATACCACCTCTGCCCCCGCCCCTGCGCACCAGATACCGACAATCAGCTGTCAGGTGGGTGGCGTGTGCGCATGTGCAACCTCTCGTGTGCGGGCAGAAGTGCTCTGTGGGCCACTCCTGGCATGCGTGCCATAGGTTCACCATCACGGCCCGATACCATTTCAGACAAATGGCTCTGCAATCTCTCCTTAAATACTTCCAGTGTTGGAGCATTCACAAGCTTCTGGTGGCAAGTTGTTCCACTGATTAACTGTTCTAATTGTCAGGAACTTTTCTCCTTCGTTCCAGGTTGCTTCTCTCCTTGATGAGTTTTCATCTATGGCTTCTTGGCGATCCCTGTGGCCCCCGTTGCCACCACGAAGGGAACCCCACAATTCTTAGGCGAGGCAACTTCCTGCTGGCTTCCGCAAGCGAAGTCATTGGGGAAGCTGGCAGGAAGTGGTCAGTGTCGGGTGGCTTGCAAGCAGATCGGCAGGCATGGGCGGTGTAGTAAGTCTCTTAAGAATTTGCACGGGGTGG